AGGGAAATTCTCAAATGGAAAATATTCAATCCACTAAATATATTGCCATACTGTTCCTAATATACACAATGTACTATTCTCTTCTGTTTCTAGTACCATAGATGCTACTAACCTTGATAAATAATGAAACAATCCTTTGGCAAATCCTGTCGAGTAATACAACCTCCATCTGCTCCCAGGAGAAACAGCACTTTGGGAGGGTTCTTCCGAATTGCTTCCACCCCAGGTTTATAGCCAAGGTCCAAAGCAGCTACTTGGCTTGCAATCCTGTAAAACAAGTACGAGTTTTTAGCATACTTGGTGTGTTTTCATTATAAAAATTTAAATGTGATTCTTGAAATGATACCTAGTCTCTTTTCTATTCAATGCTGTCAAAGATCTTCCCTCATCATTTTTACCCATTTGAAATAGATGTCAAAACCAGAAGCAGCGTCTATTACTGTTTTAAGAATGGCAAAAAAGTAAATAAGATGCTTAGGACACTGTTTCTTCATGAAGTAATACTTAATGGACTAATTCTGGAAACTTTATGCCAACTGCAATCTTCTTAAGTTGATTTTTATTCAATACAGTAAGACTTGATAAGTCAAGCACAGTCATTAGAGAAAAATTAGATGATTTTGAAAACCAAAAGGGAAAAATTTAAACACCACTCATAAAACTAATTCAGAGAAAACTATAATTAGTATACTGTTGTATGTTCTTATGGAATTTTTTCAGTGAACATATATTACTATTACAAGCAGATAATAATCTTTTAAAGAAAAGGTTTCAAAGAACTATACTTTGAGCATTTGGGAGTCTTTGGTCTAGTTTGCTATTGTTAATTTTCTTACAAGAGATAGTAGCCATTTTGAGGACCTACTGTGAATAAAGCTACTTGGGTTTTACATATTTGGTAAGGGAGGAGGGCAGGTCAAACGAACTCCAACTAGATGCTGCTGCTCTGTCAAACTCTCTAATGGGACATCAAAAGAATAAAATAGTTTGAAAAATTTAACAAAAGAAGTGCAAGATTTGTATAATAAAAATTACAAAACAACTCCAAAGGAAATTAAAGACCATAACAAATGGAAAGACATCCTATGTTCATGGATTGGAAGACAATATTGTTAAGATGGCAATACTTCCCAAATTGATCTACAGATTTAATGCAATCCCTATCAAAAAATCACAGCTGAATCCCTTGCAAAAACTGACAAGTTGATCCTAAAATTCACATGGAATGCAAAGGACCAAAAATAACAAAATCTATCTTTTTTTTTTGTCACTCTGCATGGCTGGCAGGATCCTAGGTCCCTGACCAGGGATTGAACCTGGGCCCACGTCAGTGAATGTGTGGAGTCCCAACCACTGGACTGCCAGGGAGTTCCCAATCAAATCTATCTTAAAAATGAACACAGTTAGAGAACTCACACTTCCCAAGTTCAATTTCAAAACTTAGCTCCCCCTGCCGCCTCACCTACACAATATATATATATATTTTTTTGCAGTACGCGGGCCTCTCACCATTGCGGCCACTCCCGCTGCGGAGCACAGGCTCCGGACGCGCAGGCTCAGCGGCCTTGGCTCACGGGTCCAGCCACTCTGCGGCATGTGGGATCCTCCCGGACCGGGGCACAAACCCGTGTCCCCTGCATCAGTAGGCGGACTCTCAACCACTGCGCCACCAGGGAAGCCCCACAATATTTTTTTTTAATGTCTCTCATTCTAAGCCTGGATGTCTCTCAAAGATCTGAGCAGAGACTCACACACTAACTTATGACAGAGCCCACCTCATCTTGGAAAACAAACTAAGTAACCTAAGTTTGCCTCTGCGAGAATGATCAGTAAACAAAAATGGATTAAAAGATTCTCCAAGAATTAGAAAATATGCTTTACTCTGAAATAAACTTACTATAAGAAATAAAGACAAGGGACTTCCCTGGTGGTCTAGTGGCTAAGACTCCGAGATCCCAATGCAGTGGGCCTGGGTTCGACTGTTGGTCAGGGAAATAGATCCCACATGCCGCAACTAAGAGTTCACATGCTGCAACTAAAGATCCTGCATGCCGCAACTAAAAGACCCCACATGCCGCAACGAAGATACTGCGTGCTGCAACTAAGACCCGGCACAGCCAAAATAAATAAATAAATAGATAGATAAATAAATATCCAAAAAAAAAAAAAAGGAAAGAAAGAAAAGGTTTTAAAATATCTGTTTCATGTTCTCAACAAGCATTAAAAGGTATGCCCTAATAAACTACATTGAATTTTCATGAAAAGGAAAACCTAGGTAAGAATGAAATGAAATAAAAAAACAAGGTTAATCAATTAAAAATTACAATGATGTCACTGTGCTCCATAATGAAAACTCACAAATGACAGAGTATAAGAAATTCTACCTAAACACAGAAAATAAGTGAGAAAAATTATGAGAGAAAAGATAAGAGATAAAAGTCTGAAGGGCCAACCAACGCATAACAAATAGAAGCTTCTGCATGAGACCAAATAACAATGTAAAAGTAAACCAACTGGCTTCTTCTGAACTTAAAAGGAAGAACCATATCAAAAATTTCAATTTGAAAATGGAGAGTTCTATGATATTCTCAGGCAGAGGTAATGTCAAATGAATGTCATTCAGTTATATGCTAGTAGAAAATTTTAACATCAAAAATAAGGAATCCAAAAAAGCAGGGGGACAAAAACACATACATATATAAAATCAGGTTATAATCAGAGACAAAACTCAGATTAGATGAGATCTTCTCTAAAATGTGAAAGAGAGGTGAAAAAAATACTGAGTATTAAAGGAAACAACCTGTGATCTTTGTATCTAGCCAAGTGGTCATCTGTGAGAAGGAATCAGAAAGACATTGTTAGACACAGAAATTTTTCTTAAAAAGTTATTAAGTACCCATTCAGTAAAAACAAACAACAAAAAAATATTAATAAAGACATGGATTGAAAGTGAATTAAAAATATGAAAACATCTAGTCTCTTTTCTATTCTAAAAATTCTAAAATGCTAAAAATTGTGGCTAGAAAGGATCTAGAGGTGGTCAATGCAAATAAACTCTTTTAAAAATATAAAGTTTTTGGGACTTCCCTGGTGGCGCAGTGGTTCAGAGTCCGCCTGCCAATGCAGGGGACACGGGTTCAATCCCCGGTCCGAGAGGATCCCACATGCCTCAGAGCAGCTGAGCCTGTGTGCCACAACTACTGAGCCTGTGCTCTAGAGCCCACGAGCCACAACCACTGAGCCCACGTGCCACAACTACTGAAGCCCATGCGCCTAGAGCCCGTGCTCTGCAACAAGAGAAGCCACCGCAATGAGATGCCTGCGCACCTCAACAAAAGAGTAGCCCCCATTCGCCACGGCTAGAGAAAGCCCGGGCACAGCAGTGAAGACCCAACACAGCCAAAAATTTAAAAAAAAAAAAAAAAGTTAAAAAAAATGTTTACGTGATGAACTACAATGCCAAATTAAACCAATAAGTGGGGAAATAGAACACTGAAATTAATGTTTAAGAATGCATTTGAAAAAAAAAAAAAAAAGAATGCATTTGAACACTTTTAAATTCAAAAAAGTTTGCCCAGCAAACTTAAAAGTGTTTTAGCCTCGGGGCTTCCCTGGTGGCGCAGTGGTTGAGAGTCCGCCTGCCGATGCAGGGGACACGGGTTCGTGCCCCGGTCTGGGAAGATCCCACATGCCGCGGAGCGGCTGGGCCCGTGAGCCATGGCCGCTGGGCCTGCGCGTCCGGAGCCCGTGCTCCGCAACGGGAGAGGCCACAACAGTGAGAGGCCCGCGGATCGCAAAAAAAAAAAAAAAAAAAAAAAGTGTTTTAGCCTCAATCCTTAAACAAATTCAAAGATTTGAAAAATAATACTTAAGGTAGAAAGGATTATGGGAAATTGGAAATTCATTCACTAATGCAAAATGAATTACATGTTAAGACGAAAGAAAGGCTAAAAAAATTATATATATTCATATTATATAGCCATTAATGTTTATGTTTATAAAGAATTTCTAATCATGAGGAAATTCTTGTTTGGTAATGAAAATCAGTCAAAATCAGGACACAAAATTGCATACACAGTATGACTTCAACTATATAACTAAAAAAATATTTATACACACACACAAAGAAACCCAGAACAAAGTGCACAAAAACTGCAACAGTAATTATCTACAGATTGTGAACTATGGATAATTTCCATTTTTGTATTCTTTCTTCTCTTTCCAACTTTTCTAAATAAATCTGCACTACTGATATTGTCAGAGAAAAACCTCACTTTATTTCTCACGTTAGCTTACATTTTTTTTTTAATAAATTTATTTATTTTTGGCTGCGTTGGGTCCCCGGTGCTGCGTGCAGGCTCCCTCCAGCCGCGGCGAGCGGGGGCCACTCCCCACCGTGGCGTGCAGGCCTCCCACTGCAGTGCCCCCTCTCTCCCCCCGCCACCGCTGCGGAGCACGGGCTCCAGGTGTGCAGGCTTCAGTAGTTGTGGCACGTGGGCCCAGCTGCCGTGGCTCGCGGGCTCCAGAGCACAGGCTCAGCAGTTGCAGCGCACAGGCTTAGCTGCTCTGCGGCACGTGGGGTCTTCCCGGGCCAGGGCCCGAACCCCCGTCCCCTGCATTGGCAGGGAGACTCTCAACCACTGCACCACCAGGGAAGCCCAGCTTACATTTTTATCACTTAAAAGTCAGAGGACTTATTGCAATTTTTGAACCACAGTATATTAATATGATACAGAGTTTTAAGATTTTCTTAGCACTTACTGCAATTTGGATATTTTTAATATTATTTATTATCTTGGCTTCTTCTCACACAAAATAAAGGTTTCTATTTCACATCTGCTACTGAGATAATGTCGCTAAATATTAAGTTGTTTGTAAATCTAAATGTGACAGTGTACACAAAATATACATAAAATTATAGATTATAAAACAACTACTTGGGCTTCCCTGGTGGCGCAGTGGTTGAGAGTCTGCCTGCCAATGCAGGGGACACGGGTTCGTGCCCCGGTCTGGGAAGATCCCACATGCCGCGGAGCGGCTAGGCCCGTGAGCCATGGCCGCTGAGCCTACGCGTCCGGAGCCTGTGCTCCAAAACGGGAGAGGCCACAACAGTGAGAGGCCTGCGTACCGCAAAAAAAACAAAAAAAAAAGAACTACTCAACTTACCTATGAAGGATATTCATAACTTTCCAATCACCAGTAACACCACTACTCATCCGAATCTTTTGAGCAATGTTGGAAACAGCTGCAAGAATTGCTGCCCCATCATTTCTTTGGAGTGCAGAACTGCCTAAAACCACCATTGGTTTTTTAGCTTCCTTTAGGACCTTTAAGAAAAAAGAACTTTCATTTAAAAAAACATTAGAAGTGGGAAGGAAATCTAAAAAAGAGGGAATAAATGTGTATGTATAACTGATTCACTTTGCTGTACAGCAGAAACTAACATAACATTGTAAAGCAACTAAACTCCAACAAAAATTAATTAAAAAATAAAATAAAGGGGTTCTCTGGTGGCACAGTGGCTGAGAGTCCGCCTGCCGATGCAGTGGACATGGGTTCATGCCCTGGTCTGGGAAGATCCCACATACCACGGAGCGGCTGGGCCCGTGAGCCATGGCCGCTGAGCCTGCACGTCCGGAGCCTGTGCTCCGCAGCGGGAGAGGCCACAACAGTGAGAGGCCCGCGTACAGCAAAAAAAAAAAAAAGAAAAGAAAGAATAAGCTTTAAAAAATAAAATAAAATAAACAAACATTAGAAGTAACTAAATCTAACCAAATTTGCATCTATAATATGCTGTCCCAAGTTTTAGTTCTAACATGAATGTCTTAATTTGCTAGTCGACAAATGGATATACGTACAACCAGATTTACTCAAAAATCTCTTGCTAATGCTACTGTGAAATAGCTAAACTAGTATCAAATAAAACAGATTTTCAAAAAGGAGGCATTGGGAATGAAAACCCTAGCCAAACGTCCTATGGTTAGAATGACTATAGATAGGTCCCGGAAAAAATTGAGGAATGTCCGTACAGAGGTTCAGGTGATATTTTGTAACAGGAGAAACCATGCTGAAGTACCATGTCTATCTACTATAGTCCATCTACTCTCTATGCCCCAGACAGGGAGGAG